TACAAATTAGTCAGGCACCTTGCTGCACTGATGATTAAACTCTGGGAGTGTTCTCCCAGAGCCACCTGGCTGAGCAAACACACCAGCTCCATCACCTCTAACGGTGATAACCGAGACCTGGGCAAATGGTTCCTCTTCCGTCCTGCCGCTAAATCCTGCTCAGACCTGAAGGAGGTGGAGATCTCTTGGAAGTCAAAGCTCCTCTAGGGCTAGAGAGGAGCAGAACCAGGTGTTTTGTGGTGGATGGTTTGGATTTCCATACCTAAACTCGAGGGGAGCTGGGAACGCAGGTTTGGTAATTTATCTCTTAGTCTGAAGGGAGAATAGTAGCACAGCTCGTTCCTGTACAGGATCTGTGTCAGGGTATCGGGCTTTTTACAGCAGACAGAAATAAAGCACCATGTCAGAAACATGTACAAGATAAGCAGGTAGGGTTTGGTGATTTTAAAATTTTCTGTGCATGATCTGGAGCAAACCTTTTTATAGCTAGGAAGCTTGAATTGCACAAACCATGGGGTTTGCGTATGTGTTTGAACATTGTACTGCCTTAAGGAAGGGAATGAGATTAGTCCATGGGTTCTTTTTTGGTATTTTAAAAGAAAATTGAGCTGAATGGAGGATGTAAAAATAGGAGGGGTAGAAGAAAAGCTTCCTCTCTGGGGACTGATGTGCCATTTTTAAGACATCTTGGAAAAGTACTCGGGGCCAGTTTCTGATCTGAGGTACAGCTAGTGCTCCTGCTGCAGCCAGATAAACTCTTCTTGTCACTAGCCTATGGTCTGTTTCTGTCCAAAGATTAAAAGCAGACTGATAATCTCTGTCACTTGATTCTGACTGGCCCCAAGATGAACAAATATGTAGAGTTTAACAAAAAACAACAAAAAAAGCCTCTGCATATGCCTACCTCAAGAACGTGTCCTTTGGTTTATGGTCTGGTAACAGCAGCAGCAACAGTCTGAGAAGAGCAGCTCCATAATAGGAAGCTCATATGAGACACAGGAGGGGGCACTGAAATTTCTGTCTGTCCCTCCCTCACTAAAAATGCTAGGAACAAAAATACTGTGAAGATTATAGCTTTGGCGTGAAAGACCTCACAGTTCTTGGAGGGACTGGCTGTGTTGTGCTCTTTGTGTGAAAGAGACAAGGAGTAAGGTGTTTTAATTGCACACAGCAGCTCAGTGGTTAATTAAGCTCCAACTGATGCCCTTGGTTTGTGACTAGCATTTGCATATGTAAATATGAGGGAAGTGGCATCAGCAGGCTTTCTTGCTTTGCCATCTACTCCCTTCTGCGTATCTGTGGGACCTTTTCTGAAGCTGGCAGCTTGGGAGAAGCAGGTTCCCTCAGGTTGTGGTAACCGTGGTGTTGCTGATCCCCAAGAGGCAGCAGGTGACGGGATCCTGTGGGTTGTGTGGGCGCTCACCTGGGGGTCTGTGGGGCTGCTTCCCAGTGGCTCCAAAATGTCTGACCTCTGTGGCTTCTGTCATGATCTCAAAATCACCTTTCCTGGTTTCCGCGGCGCTTCGGGAAGCTGTTCCAGCAGTCTGCATGGATAATCGAGGTGTAACGAAGTGCCTACGCTGACCAGTGTTATCACCACAAACACATTATTCCTGTACAGGAATTACTTCCCTGTTGTCGGTGTAGACATGGCCTTAAATTCCCTGGCCGGATCTTCAAACGGTGAATTCGGGACAGCTCTGCTAGTGCCAGCACAGCTCCACTGGCTTCTGGGGCGCACGGCCGCGGGCGTCCCCGGGTGGGAGTTGTGTGCCTTGGCGCTTCAATTGTACAACATGGGACGCCAGGGTGACACCCCGTGGCCAAGGCAGCTTTCTTCTTCCTTGGATTGCTCCAGTTTTTCAAGGGATCAGTAACTCCCTTGTCTCTCGCTTTTATGACATTGCCCTGCTTTGATTTTTATCATGCCTCTGCTCCAACATTTAAGGCTGTATTGCATTATTTTTCTGGTGATCAGTGTTCCTTCCACTAGCTTTTTTAACAACAGCTGCTAACTCTGCATATGTATGCAATTTTTTCCTGAAGAGGAATATTATGCCAAGTGTACAGATGAAAATATATTGCTTGTAATATGTTAAATAAAAGATAGTATAGGGAATAATTCTGCTATAATCTAAGAAGGCCATTCAGCTGCTTTCCAAGTCTGTCTTTATTTCTGCCTAAACCAGCCTAGGAGCAGGCGGTGCAGTCAGATGAGCTGTGTCCGACCCCTCTGGTTAGTGCTGTAGGAAACAGGGTCATGTAAATGAGGCTTGGGTCTTCCCAAGAGCTTTCCCTCCTCTACTCAGTGTTCCACGTATGTTGCTTTTGTTTGCTCATTTTAAGGCAAAAGGATAAGCACACATGCCCAGCAGGAGGGAGCAGAGCTGCACAGAAGGAAAGATCCAGATTTGCTGACTACATTTCACACAATCCTACAGGTTTAAAAATAAATCCTACCTCATTCTTGGATTTGCAGTGTCTGATTCATGCTTTACCAGGTGCTGTAAGCATGGAACAGTGGGACCATTTATCTATGAGGCAAGGCATTGTATCTCAAGTGACCCTTTTCCTCCTTGAAAGCTTTCGTTAGAAGAGGTTAATTATATGGACATGTGCTCCAAACTGCAGTTTGGGCTGGAACTTTTTTCCCTTTTCAGTCTGTGCTGTGTTGTCAAATTATCCTTCTCCCAGTCATGCTTACAGGTCTCCTTTGTGTGAGTATTGTCTACTGTCTTTAGTAGCGCACTTATTAGCACGTGCTTTAGATTTTATGAGACAAAACGCAGAAGAGTGTATGCAGGATGCAACTGTGGCTTTTTAAAATCCCAAATTACGGTGTAGCAGAGCCTGGGAGATGGCTTTGCAGACTTCTGCCATGAACTGCTCTGTGTGTCAAATGTCACCGGGACTACCGCAACCCCCAGCAGTGCTGGAGGAAGGGATGAGCTGGAGGGTTGGTGGTGAGGCTGTTCTTGCTGTGTTCATCCCTCACAACTCTCATCCCAGCCGTGTGAAGTGAATGTCTACGTATGCTGTGGGGGTGTGCTGGCAGGCACAGCCTCTGCGCTGGGGCAGCGAGACACAGAACAGCTCCACTTGATAACAAGCAGTAAAGTTTCTATGGAAGCATCGGGTTTATGTGTGGCCTTGTCTTAACTCTGTTTCTTCGGATCACTTGTACTCCAGTTTTGAAGTAAGCATCACAAGGGTATTTGTGCTTCTTCTGAGAAGTTCTTGGCTTGTTAGGTGGCTGCTTTCCTTCTCTTTCACTCATCTACATTTGGATTTAAAATGCATGTACTGCTACTAAAAAGTTTCTTGCTGGTCCCCACTGGAAAGGGAGTTAAATAGAAATACGTCGATAAGAAGGCAAAGTAGGGCATGACAAGAGCTGAAAGTTTTTGTTAGGATACTGTACAATGACTAAAAAAAAAAAAAAAAAAGTT